TGGCGGGGCTGCCGTCCCGGGCCCCAGCCGCGGGCCCCTGGGAGAACTGTGGTCCCCGCTCTGCTTCCAGGTTCGAAGAGGAGAGTCATGGAAGACAGTCCTTCCCCCGTCAGCCCAGACCACGAAGCCTCCATGGGTCACGACCCCAGAAGCCCGCTGGAGGCCCTGGAGGCCCAGGACAGCTACAGGCTCTTCGCCCGAAGGTGCAGGCCCCGCGAGCCCGTCCCGCCGCGAGCCCGCCCGGAGCTAGTCCCAGGCACCGGCACCGCGCAGCGGTCCCCAAACATCGCCTGGTCCCTGGAGAGATGGAAAAGCCTCGCCGCCCTCTCACCCGGCCATCTTCTGCGGGGCCGGGAGAGCGGGTCCCCTCCCGCCCTAGTGCCCATTACAGCTCCTCCCGGCTGAGTTAGTGCGCAGGGCTACTTTGGGTCAGTTGCTGCCAGCGCCTTACTTGTACCTGCAACCCCATCCTGTGTGTTCCCGTTGTAAGCTGAACGGTTGTGTGCCTCAGAAACGGATGGCATTTGAAGGGGGTCCTCTGGGCCGTGGCTGGGTTTAGACCAGGTCACAGATCGGGACTGGGGACGGGCTAGGAGTCAGTATTACCAGAGGAAGAGGGGTCAGAGCGCGGCTTCTGCCTTGGCTCTGCCCTGTGAGCTCACAGTGAGAAGGTTCCACTTGCGGACTAGGGAGAAACCCCAGGAACCAAACCCACTGGCACAGGAGCTTGGACTTCCATCCCCAGGAACCATGGGAAATAAATAGCAGTTGTTTAAGCCCCCCAGACAATGGTAGTTTGTTGTATGTAGTAGCCCCAGCAAACTATCACAGTCCTCAGTAGGATACAGAGTTATTTATGCTGGGGATGAGGAGCCCGTGAGGGCCAGGCAGAGCAAGCTGGCTGGGCCTTGCCCACTGTGCAAACTGGCCTTTCCCAGTGATCTCTGGGGGGTCTCACAGCTGATTGGTTATATTGTAATATTCTGTCTCTGTCTCTCTCTGTCTCTGTCTCTGTCTCTCTCTCTGTCTCTCTCTCTTGCTAGCCCTAGGGCGTGAACTCAGGGCCTGGGCACTGTCTCTGAGCTTCTTTTGCTCAAGGCCAGCACTGTACCACTTAAGCCACAGTGCCACTTCTGGCCTTTTCTGTTTTATATGGTACCAAGGAACTGAACCCAGGGCTTCATGCATGCTAGGCAAGCACTCTACTACTAAGCCACATTCCCAGCCCTATTGTAATATTCTTGAGTGACCTCAAAATTATTTCCATTTTTAAAATCTTTTCCTACTTACACTAAAGGTTTTCTTTCTTCTCTTGATCCCTTTTTAAAACTTATACAAGTAATACTTGTCACATGTAGGAAAATGAGCTAGAAGTGCTGTAACAAATCACCACAGACTGAGAGGCTTAAATAGCAAGCTTATTGTCTCAGACCTCGGTACCAGAAGCCCAAGATCAAGGTGCCAGCCATCTTGGCTCCTTCTTTCTCCTCAGCTTGCATGTGGCTCTGTCTTCATCTGTCAGGTCACATCGTTCTATGCATTTCTCCGTGTCCAGACTTCCTCTGCCCCCTTTTAGTTTGAACTCTGGGCCTGGGCGCTGTCCTCAGCTCTTCAGCTCAAGGTGAGCACTCTACCACTTGAGCCGCAGTGCCACTTCCAGTTTTCTGGTGGTTTAATGGAGATAAGAGTTTCACAGACTTTCCTGCCCGGGCTGGCTTTGAACCGTAATCCTCAGATCTCAGCCTCCTGAGTAGCTAGGATGACAGGCATGAACCACTGGCGCCCAGCTAAAGTTCCCCTTTTAATGGAGACATGGTCATATTGGGTAGGGCCCTGCCCTAATGAACTCACTTTAATAGGCCACTACCGTAATGCCACATTATGAGTTATTGAAGTTTAAGACTCTGAAATAAGAATTGAGGGATACACTAACGTGTACAAACAATTGAGCAGAAGTAAAAAAGCAAAGCAGGACAATGCCCCCAGCCTTGGTCATTGTTGAATTTGGATGTCTGCCTTCCTGACTCTGCACCTACAACAATAGGCCCAACACAGACTGGATACTTCCAGAACTTCCTTGTGCTTAGCCTCTGTGGCTCATGCTAGTTTCGCATGGCTGGCTGATGGAGGTGTCTTGCTACCAGCGAGGCCACCAGCCAGTGTCTAGAACAGAGACACATGCACAAAGCATCCCCCAGAGAGTTAAGTGGGAGGAAGAGAGGGTTATGTGAGATGGGGACGTTAGGATCCCTGTCTGAGTTATGACTTTAGGTATGATCTTTAGATCCCAAGAGCAGGAAAGAAGCAAATCCTGCTGGTACACACATCTTCCTGCTGCTCGACAGTGTGGATCCCACATCTACCCCTCTGTCAGGCTTCTATCTCTCAATATGCTCTCATACACTTTCTGGGTCTGTATGTGTGTGCTGAGTATTTGCTTCCTTCTTGGCCTGGTGCTGGTGTTGCTGGTTTGAGTGGGAGGACCCCAGCATGAACACAGCTGCCCAGCAACAACTGGAGGAAGCTATGGTTGTGGGCCGTCAAGTCCCAGGTGGTGGAGCCAGCAGCTGGGGGAGCCAGCAGCTGGAGCCATGTGGGTGGAGGAGCTGACTGGTCTCTCCTAGAAACCAGCACATCTGCCCTTGGCCATTGCTGCACTTTTCACTTCTTAGATGCCCCTGGGAAATTACTGTATCCTTTGTGCCTTGGTTTCCTTTTCTGTGCACATGCCTCAGGGGTGTGAGAGTGAAATGAAATGGTACACTGAAATGGTACAGATACACAGTCATTTTTTTTTTTTTTGGTGCTGGTCCTGGGGCTTGAACTCGGCCTGACGTTGTCCTTGATTTTTTTTTTTCTCCCAGCTACCAGCTGAGCCACAGCTCCACTTTCAGCTTTTTGGTGGTTAAGTGGACGTAGTCTCATGGGCTTTCCTGCTCTGGCTGGCTTTGAACAATCCTCAGATCTTAGCCTATTGAGTAGCTAGCATTATAAGTGTCCCTTGGCTTGTGGTGTGCGGTTACTATGAAGACATTTCAGCCTTCCTTGATACCCTTTCCCTCCTGTCTTCCTAGGGACAGGCCAGTGACCCCAGGGGAGGAAGATGAAGGGTCTGAGGCTAACCTGCAAGACAGGAACCTGAAGAGGAACTACATCGAGCTTGTCCAAGGCATGCAGGAGTGGCAGGACGGCTGTGTCTACCGGGGGGAGTTTGGGCTTGACATGAAGCTTGGATACGGAGAGTTCTCTTGGCCCACAGGAGAGGTAGGTGTCTTCCGTTGCTGCCCTGCATCCTCCTTGGGGCCTGGGGACCGGCCTTCTCCTAAGAGCCACATGATAGGAACCTTGGCATCCATCCCAAGGCTGGTAGGCTGCCTGTCCTCTCTACATCACAGGGCCAGAAGAAAGTCCCTGCAGACCCCCTCAGCCAGCCCTGTTTACCTGAGGATCTGGGGAGGGGGGTGAGGTTTGGAAGCTGTGACTCAAGAAGATGGGTTTTATTCTAGGCACATGTTTGAAAATTAGCAAATTATGAGCGCAAGCTGAAACTGCCTCGTATTTAAGATCAAATGACAGAAAGAGCATGCCGAGTCCCTCAGTGGAGATTTAGTGGGGCCAAGGGCCTGGGCCTGGGACCCCACAGCCAGGGCTCTTTGTGCCTCCTGGTGCCCTTGGCTGTGTGCAGTAGCTACGCGCACAGTGCCGCTGGGCCTGTGCTGTATCTAGGGCCACCAATCGTAGATGCCGGTATGTCCCCCTCACCTGCACCATTTGCCTGAGTAAATGACTCTGCCCTGGCATTGCTCTGTGTGTGTGTGTGTGTGTGTGTGTGTGTGTGTGTGTGTGTGTGTGTGTGTGTGTGTGTGTGTGTGTGTGATGGGGCTTGAAACTCTGGGCCTGGGTGCTGTTCTTGAGCTTCTTTTGCTCAAGACTAGCACTCTACCATTTGAGCCACAGTGCCACTTCCGGCTTTTTCTGTGTATGTGCAATTGAGGAATCGAACTTGGGGCATCATGCATGCTAGGCAAGCACTCTACCACTAGGCCACATTCCCAGTCCCAGGCATCCTCTTTCCCCGCTGTGGCCTCAGGAGAGGGCAACTCTGACACTTGCCTACATGTGTGTGTGTGGCTGGCTCAGAGGCCCACCGTGAGTCTCTGTGCTGAGGAGTTCCCAGCCAGACCGCGTCCCTGCCAGTCTGACTGCTGTCACCTGCACGGGGGCCTGGGTTCTGTTCAAACCTAGCCTGGTGCTGGCGTGTTCCTGGCAGAGCCTCCAAGTGGTTCTTAACTCCCTGTCTCCTGAATGGGGTGGGACCCTGGCTCACTCACCTTAGCCACCTCTCTAGTTAGTCCTGTACCTGCTGGCCATGAGAGCTTCAGTCACTGCCAGCCTGGTGGTTACCAGGGGCAGGGGTGCCCGAGGACAGGGGCTCACCCCAACACCAGGCCTGCTGACCTCTCCCCCTCCAGGTCTACCGAGGGCAGTTTTACCGGGACCACTGTCATGGTGTGGGCACTTACACGTGGCCAGATGGCTCCAGTTTCACTGGCATGTTTTACCTCAGCCAACGAGAGGGCTATGGTACTATGTACATGAAGACAAGGCTCTTCCAGGTGAGGAGACTTCATGTTCCCGGGGCGCATGGCCTGGGTGTGTTCCTGAGGCAGGGCAGGGCCATAGTGTTTCTGAGGGGGCAGGACCAGTGCTGGGGCTTGAATCCAGGCCCTCTCCTCTCAGTTCCATTTATGGCTGGTGCTCTACCACTTGAGTCTTGCCTCCTATGGCTTTTTGGTTGTTCATTGGAGATCAGAATCACAGGCTGACTTCTGCCTGGGCTGACTTCGAACCATGATCATCAGCTCTCAGCCTCTTGAGTGGTTAGGATCACAGGTATGAGCCGCCCACACCCAGCTTCACTTGTTTCTCAGGAGCAACGTTTACTCTAGATCTTCTAGAAAGAATGAGTCTGGAGACTAGGTGATTTGGATAGATCCTAGTGAGTTTCTCTAACTAAGCAAACAACAAAAGCAATTTTCAGGACAACAGCTTTGTCCCCTTAAGTAGAGGCATTTAACCCTCAGAGTGCCAATGTGGCAACCATTCAGCCTGTAGGAGGGAGGGCGGGCTTCACCCTGGAGGCCTTGGCTGTGTCGTTGTCCTTTGAGAGAAGTCCTAGGCTTCCCCTCCACCTGTACCCTCCCCTTCCCACCCTCCCCTTCTCCAGGTATCTGCGCTCCCATGAGAGATTGCCGCCAGGCACAGTGCCCGGTGTTTCAAACACTTTGATAACTGTTGAACAAATGAGTATATTTCTTAGGAGTACATTTTCTTTTACTGCTTTGGCAAAGCTTGTCACAAAGTATATCTTTTGGCTCTCCGGATTCTCCTTGCAGGGGCTATACAAAGCGGACGAAAGGTTCGGGCCAGGCTTTGAGACGTACCCCGATGGCTGCCAGGATGTGGGCCTGTGGTTCCGTGAGCACCTTGTCAAATTGTGCATGGACATTCCCAGCAGCTTCTGCCTGCTCAGCTACCCAGAGTTCTCAGCCTTCCTCACACAGTGTCAGGAGAGACTTAGTCTCTCCGAGGAGGAGAGAGCGGAGTGGCACCCAACGGAGGAGCAGGACCCCTTCTTCTATGAGTACAAGCGGTTTCTTGTGAGTGATGACCTCACGCTGCCCCCAGAAATGCACATCTACTCAACTGACAACCAGCACCTGCCCATGCCAGACTCTTTCCGCAGAGAGCTGGATGCCCAGGTCTTCCATAATGAAATCCCCCCATTCATCGAGGATGGAGAACCCTGGTTTATACAAAATCAGACACCTCTGTTGATAAAAATCCAGAAACAAGCCTACAAGTTCAGGTGATCAAGCGGATCTTTCTCTCCATCCAGTGTCCCCTCTTTGGGTAGGGCCCCTCCCCCACACCCCAGGTGGGTTCCTGATGTCCTCCAGGGCCAGGTGACTGCTAGTTTAGAAAACATAATTTTTTTATACAGAGCTTTTTTTAAAGTAGAAGTACTTAAAAATAACCATGAAAAACACACTAAAGGGCTAGGGGTGAAGGCACACCCCCGTGACCCCAGCTGCTCTGGAGGTGGAGGCAGGAGGATCACCATCTGAGGCTAGCCTGAGCAAAAGTGTGAGGCCGTCCCTGGAAACAAACTGAAAAGCAAAGAGGGCGGGAAGCATGGCTCAGATAGTAGAATGTTTGAGGTGTGGGTCCTGAGTTCAATCCCCCCACGTATCAGGGGAAAAGAGAGGAATATATGAGGTTAACCCTACTAATTATAAGATATGCCTGTGAATCACCAGGGTGAGGCCTTTGTAGGACTAATATGTGCTAAGGAAAAGGAAAAGAAAAGCATTTCTCAGCTTTGCCAGGACCTGTGGGCCCACCATGGCTATGTGGCCCAGTCTGGCATGTGATAGCACTGTACTAGGCCCTCTTCCATAAAGGAATGGATTTTTTTTAGAAAATAATATATGAGCACAAATGCCTGTTTTTCCATCCAACCATCTACCACCTATGTATTCACTCATCATACAATCATCATTCCATCCATCCAACCACACATCCATTCATCATCTATCGACCATGCAAAATATCCCATCCATCTATCTATCCATCCAACTACACCTCCATCCATCCACCCATCATCTATCCATTATACAAACATCATCCATCTATCCAGCCACCCATCCATCATTCAAACATCATCCCATCGATCCATCCATCATGCAAACATTTTCCCATCAACCCATCCATCCATCCACTCATCCATCATGCAGACATCATCCCATTCATCCATCGATCCATCATCAAACATCATCCCATCCATCCATCATCCATTCATCAATTATGCAGACATCATCCCATCCATTCATCATCAAACATCATCCTATCCATCCATCCATCATGCAGACATCATCCCATTCATCCATCCATCCATCATGAAGACATCGTCCCATCCATCCATCCATTCATCAATTATGCAGACATCATCCCATCCATTCATCATCAAACATCATCCTATCCATCCATCCATCATGTAAACATCATCCCATCCATCTATCCATCCATCATGCAGACATCATCCCATCCATCCCTCCATCATGCAAAAGTCACCCCATCCATTCTTCATGCAAACATCATTCCATTCATCCATCCATCATGCAAACATCATCCCATCAATCCATCCATTCATCCATCATGAAAACATCATCCCATCGATCCATCCATCATGCAGACATCTTCCCATCCACCCATCCATCCATCATGCAGACATCATCCCATCCATCCATCCATCCATCATGCAGACACCAGCTAAGAGCCTCATCAATGAGAGCTGGTCCATGCTCTCAGTGAATTCATGTTGCATAAATTTATGAGTTCTTGATTTCTTGAAGACACAGGTCTTCAAACAAAAAAAGGGGCAGAAATGAGTAGAGTGTTGGTGCTTTGTGCTGCCCTGTGGACTCACGTATTGCTGGCTGCCTACCCACCCTGAGACCCTGTTGTGAGAAACTGTTTACAAGAAGACATGAATTGAACTGGTGAAGTCAGAGATGCACAGGATCCAGTTTGGCCCCGCACAGCCCTTCTGGGCTAATACCAAGCCGGAACATTTTCCCGTGGCATGTCTCCATGCCTGAGCGCTCCCCACTGTCACTGGCTGACAGTGCAGCTCAAGGTTAATAAGACTCTTGGGGCAGCCAGTGGGGGCTGAGGAATGAGAGGAGCAAGAGTTAAGAAGATAGCTCCCTTGAGCTGTTTTTATTTTCCTTTCAGTACTGTTGCTTCAACTCAGAGTCTTGTGGTTCCTAAGTAGTCACTCCACTACTGAGCCCTGCCACCGCCACTGCCGCCGTCTCCTCCTCCCCTGCCTCCTCCCCTTCCTCCTCCCCTTCCTCCTCTCCTTCTTCCTCCCCTTCCTCCTCCCCTTCCTCTTCCCCTTCCTCCTCCCCTTCCTCCTCCCCTTCTTCCTCCCCTTCCTCCTCCCCTTCCTCCTTCTCTTTTCCAGTCATGGGCCTTAAACTGTGGGCCTGGGCACTGTCCCTCAGCTCTTCAGCTCAAGGTGAGCACTCTACCACTTGAGCCACAGTGCCACTTCTGGTTTTTTGAGTGGTTTATTGGAGGTAAGAGTCTCATGGACTTTCTTACCTGGACTGGCTTTGAACCATGATCCTCAGATCTCAGCGTCCTGAGTAGCTAGGATTACAGGCATGAGTCATCAGGGCTTGCCAATACTACTACTTCTCCTCCTGCTCCT